AAGTGCCATGGGCTGCCAAAAGAACCAATAGATCCGTTTTGGAAGAAGTGCAGCCAGAGTGCTCCTTGGAGGCCAAGATGGCCAAACTTCGTTACTCATGCTTGAGACATATTGTCAGGAGGGACCAGTCACTGGAGAAGGATATCATGTTTGGTAAGGTGGAGGGTTTGGGAAAAAGAGGAAGACTCCAATGAGATGGATTGGCAAAGAGGCAGCATCGATGGACTCAAGTGTGGCAACAGTAGTGAGGCTGGCCAAGGATTGGGCAGTGTTTCGTTCTGACTCATAGTGACCCATACAGGGTTTCCGAGGCTGTAAATCTTTATGAGAGCAGAAAGCCTCATCTTTCTCCCTTGGGAGAAGTAGAATACTGTAGGAGCGGCAGTGGCTGATGTCACAATTGGTAAAAAGCTTGGAGGTGAAAGTTTGTCTGATCTCCACCTCATGGGAATCAGCTTTGTGCTAATGCTAATTCCCACCATGCCCCTTTGTGAATTGAGTTTCTAATGTTCCTTCTCCTAGAATTTTACTCCTAGTAAATACCACTGCCATGGGGCCAGCTAAGCTTGAAGTAGCCTGGGGGACAGAGAACCACACAGTTCCCTGAATAAGAGCTCCCCTGCCCACTCCCTTCGGTTCACCCTTGACTTCGGGCACCACAATGGGGCACATCTGTCCAGTGGGCTCCCTTGGGTGTCCTGGTGTCTGCTGCACATGAGTTTCTGCCTCCCGGAGCTTTTGGGGTGGGTCAGGCAGTCAGCAGAAAAGGATTATGCTGCTAACAAGTGGAGCCGAACTCAAATAAAGATAACACTGCCTGGCAGAAGCTCTCAGCTCCAGGCCGGGCAGGGTGGCTCTGGGAGTGTTGCCCAGGGAGGAGGAGCGTGGGGAGGCCTGGACCCCAGCAGCAGGGTGGGGTAGGCCTCCTAGCAGGTCCACTTCCTGTCTCTCTCCAAGGCGCATGATGCTGAGTGGGGGGAGGGGACAGACCTTCAGACCTTTAACTTGTAGACCACTACCTGTTACCACCTTTTTAAGTTTGACATCAGCTCACCTGTTGTGGGTTTCATTCCCTCTAAACAATGCTCTCTGAGAAACCAACTGCTGGCAGTTCTGAGACACACAGCTAAAACCAAACCAGCTATTCTCAAGAGTAGACTCTGACTCATGGGTGAGCCCATATGTGCAGAGTAGGACTGTGCTTACTCCATGGGGTTTTCAAGGCTGTGACCATCTGGAAGCAGATCACTAGACCTTTCTCTGGAGGGGCTCCTGGGTAGGTTCCAATCGCTGAACGCTTTGTGACGCCTGTTGCCTCCTGGTGTCTGTGAAGTCAATGTTGAGGTGGCCCTTTCCTCGGGGACATGGGAGAGCCCCACATGGTTTCCTGTGGTGGTCCATCCCACGTGCCATCCAGTCTCCGTTCTTCATCTCCACGTTCTTACCAGAGACTGTGCCCCTCTCCTGCAAACTTGATCAGTGTGAGCTCTCGGGTTACCTCTTCATCCTCAGACATCTCCCACGTGTGCAGGCCTCTGGCCACAGCGAAGTCCTTCATAAAAAAAAACATTAGCTGCCAGAGCACTCATGTTCAGCAGCAAAATGGACAGAGCAGATGGGAAACTGAGGCAGAAGATCAGAGTTGTCCAGGGCCTCCCAGAAGCCCCTGCTCCTCTGGCTACAGCCCTAGATTCCCTGGGATGCTTGGGGATTGTCAGCTGCAGTCCTATGGGCAGGAAGTGAGAGCTGTTTAGGGTGGAGGTGCTGGTGGGGTACGGCCCAGCATAGAAAACAATCCACCCCAGTGCCCCCTGAGCTCAATCTAAGCCACGCTTCTGTACTCTTGGACCTGGACACAAAACACACTTTTAGGCTTCTGCCCAGCAGAGACATTTGCACCATGACTCTGCTGCCTGTCCTCCCCCTGGCTGTGGAGGCCAGTTGTGGCAGACACACCTGAAAGAAGTTTCCAGCATGTCTGCTTCCCCAGCTCCCTTCCCTCACACTACTGTTTAGTGTCTGGGTGTCACTGGCTGAAGTCAGGCAGGAACAAATGGTGCTAGATGGGCTCTGGATTCGGCGCCTCCGGGGACCCTTTCTGCATTTGCCTCAGTGTTGGGTCTGTCTTCTCTTCTGGACAGTGGGGATACTCCAATGACTTGCCTTACATGGCAGGTCAGTAGTTCTGGTTGACTTTTATTTGGCTATTGAACACATTATTTTTATTACAATCCCCTCCCCTGTAGCATTTATCCTACTTCCTACCCGTGGCTCCCTCATTGATATCTTATATTTCAGAAGTGAACAAAGCAAAAAAAAATTCGTGTACACTTACAAAAACATATACTGATTGAAATGACCAAAGGGCACATTCTGCCAGCAAGCCTTCTGCCCTCAGGCACACAGTCTTTCTCAGTCCCTGGCCCGTAACTGTCTCTCCATGCCACCCGTTTCCTCCACCGTCCCTGCTCCTGCAGCTTTTCTAAGTAGGGATTTCATACTCCACTCTTGCTCTTCCTTCTCCATGGTCCTGGGATCTGCTGTTCCTGAAATGAAAGATTACTTCCCCCTTTTAGTTACACATCTAAGGTTACAGTTGTGACAACTGCATTTAATCCCGCTAACAATTATTCACAACCGAATCATAAAATCTTATCATCTTTGCCCCGCATTCTTTTTCACCAGATCCATCTGGGAAAGAGAGAAACTATCCAGTGGTGATTCTACCTTTTCTGGTCGGGACTTTTCCACACGTACATGTACTCAAAAGCGATGCACGCTTCACAAATAACAGCCTCACTTCCAATTCGGGCATATTCGATTTCATCTTTATGCAACCCTAGTAACCATGCAGAAACTGTCTTCAGGAACCTGCACAGGGGAGGCAGAGGAAGAGCAGGCATCCCGAGTATTAACTGCTCCCGCTGCCAGGCGCTCGATTCCAGTAGCTACTGATGTTTGCGGTGGCCCTGTATGCAAATACCGTGCTGGCGCCAGACCGCGCACGCGCCAGCTCAGCCACCACCAGCAGGGGCGGTGCAAGACCCCTCCAGCACCGGAGAAATGGAGGCGGGCCCCGCCCTGTGCGCGCACGCGCGCCGCCCAGCTCGATTTCCCACCCCTCCCACCGCCCGCGCAGTCTCGTGCCGGCTTCTTCACGCAGGGCCCGCCGGGAGCAGGCGGGGGCGGGGGCGCCGGGCAACGCAGGCGTGTAGAGTGGGGCCCGCCCCTGGGCGGGCAGTGCGGCCATCTTTAAAGGGAGGCCGGCGCGGCGGGCCAATGGGAGGTGAGCGTGTGGGGGCGGAGCGCCGCTCGGGGCCCCGGATGTGGCTGCTGCGCCCCTTCTTCCCGCGCCCCTCAGAGCCCGGCGGTGCTCCTCGTCGCCCGCCAGGACCCCGCGTAGGCCACTCGGGCAGTGGCGAGCAGGCAGCGCGGAGGAGCGGGCGGCGAGGCGAGCGCGAGGCGGCGGCGGAACAGGCCGCGGCCCGGCGCCTCGCTCCGGTCTCCCGGCTGGCCGCCGCCATGAGCGGCTCCTCGGGCACTCCGTATTTGGGCAGCAAGATCAGCCTCATCTCCAAGGCGCAGATCCGCTACGAGGGCATTCTCTACACCATCGACACCGACAACTCCACCGTGGCGCTCGCTAAAGGTACGCCCGCCCGGCCCGGCCGCGAACCGCCCGCCGTGCCCAACTGCCCGAGTCCTGCTAGCCAACAGCCCGGCTCCCGCTCCACGGGCGGCCCGGACCCCCGCCCCCGGCGCTTTCCCCACCCTGTGGGTCTCCCCCCACACCGCCGTGTGCCCCCCGCGACCTCCCCTCTTCTATGACAACCCCGCCCCCCTGGCATCCCTCTCCTCCCCCAGGACGCGCTCTCCGCCCCTCCCCCCGAGCGCCCACCCGCGCAACCCACAGCCCACGACTCGCCCCGGCGCCGCTGCCTCCCCTCCCCCACGACGCTCCCCCTCGCGGAGACCGCCCCTCACCGCGCCCCCTGCCGCCCTCTTCCCCGCTCCCCTGCGTCCTGCCTGGGGCGGATCGCAGTCCGGCGCTCCCCGCGCTCGCACAATGGTGCTCGTCCCCCGCCCCACGGCGGTGTCATTGTGCTCGGCCGCCGGGTCCGTCTGCGGGGTTGGAGTGGGGGCGGGGCGGACCCCGAGTCCAGTCGGGCTCGGGGAGACTGCGCCCCAAGTCTCGCCGCCTCCCCTCCTCACCTGCCGAAGGGCCGAAGGGGACAGCTAACCCCAGATCCTGGGTCCCTCGGGGAGGAGAGGCGGGGCAGGGAGTCTTTGGAGCTAGAACAGAAAATCTCGGGTCCTTCTGGAACCTATTAAGTGTCTGGGGCCTCGTGTCTGAACAAATAACGCGCGGTCTCCTGCCAAGACGGAAGCGTCAGTTGGCAACTAGGGACCCCAAAGGCCAAACGCTTTCTCCCCTGATGCTGACTGCGGCTCCGGGCCTCACCCTTTGTCATAGACCCTGGTGTGCCTGGCACTTCAGATAAGTCCCGAGTGGTTTCTGAGCTTTGTGAGGCAGAAGGTGGCCTTTAGTGTCCTCATCCATCTCGAAGTTGGGAGCTTCTGGGTCTGCAGAAACGGGACCCTTTTGTGTGGCGGCGGCGATGCGGTGCTGTGTGTGAGGCTGACAGACGGCTGCTTAGTCAGAGGGAGCCCCGGGCCTGCAGGCTCAGTTACGCCCCCTAGACTGAGAAGACAGGCAAGGGTACACTCTGGGTTGGTGGAAGCCCCGCGCTCCTTTTAATCTGATGCTGGACTGGATGGGAGGGTTCCCAGTATACAGCTTATGGGACTTTGTCTGAGGGGACACCAAAGGTGACACCTTCTGGGCTCCCTTCCCTATTCAGGGCATGCTGATGAGAAGAGTTCTCACTGGCTCTCCAGGGACAATGCCTGCTTAGGTTTCCAGCAGAGCCAGCTGTCAGCTTTTAAGGCAGTGGAGGGGGAGTGCTAGGGAAATCTCACCCGCTGGTCTCATTCTGTCTCTTAAGTCAGGGAATCGAGTAGATGCTGAAACACGGAGCAGCGGGCCGTTATGTGTGGACGGCTTTCAGGGCAAGGAGCTCTTTGTGGTGCACTTTGTTGAGGACAGCAACTGAGTAACATTTGTGCTTTCCACCCTCAAGTGCGGTCTTTTGGCACTGAAGACCGCCCCACAGATAGGCCTGCGCCTCCAAGAGAGGAGATTTACGAGTACATAATTTTCCGGGGAAGCGACATCAAGGACATCACTGTGTGTGAACCTCCGAAAGCGCAGCACAGCCTTCCTCAGGACCCTGCCATAGTTCAGGTCAGTGTGGCTCTGCCAACAGTTTGCTCGGCCAGAGGACTCAACTCAAGGGATTGTTGTTAAGTGCAGTTAAGTTCTGTACAGACTTGTGGCTGGTGAGTTTGAACTGCCGACCTTGCAGTCCAGTGCATTCTTGAAGCACCACATCAGAACTCCAGCTCATGGAATGATGGCTTTTCACGAAAAGGGGTTTGATCTGGGTGGTGATGTTCTTGTTCCTGTGGAAGGTCCTGTGAGCAGCTCGTGGCTGGTAGTGTGTGCTGTCAGCTGGAGCTTGAGGAAGGCATCCTGTATGTGTGTCTGTCTGTCTCAGTGCTGTGTCTCTTTCTGTGTCTTTGTGAGGCATGGCTGGAGTGGTCTGAAGGGTACAGCAGGGACAGCCCAGATGGTTTCCTGTTGAGTCCAGATGTTGAGTTCTGTGTCTGGGACACTAAGGTGGCATGTCTTGTAGCATGTGCTTCCCTGCTGGTACTGCAGCGTGCTTTGCCCAGGATTGCCAGGGGCCCAGGTGACATACTGGCTCCCCTGGGTGCAGGCTGCTTGGAGGGAGGTAGGCATGAGGAGTAGCACCTGGGCCAGACTGCTGAAAGGTGGGAGGCTGGGGTCCTTGGCAACTGGGTGGACAAGCTTTGAGAGCTGGCAAAAGAGGGGCAGTGTGACCAACGTGGCAGGGCTCTCAGAGGCATGTGGGCTGCAAATAGTTTCCTGGCTCCAAGCTCCCGCTGTGTCTGCATGGGGGGGGGGGGGCAGCCCTGCTCTGATGGGGTTTCATGGAGTTGGGGTGGTTTTTGTTCCAGTTATAAGGATGGGTGGGCACTTGGAGGTAAGAGTGTGGAAAAGGCAGCTGTAGACCTGGTTCCGACCCTCCGGCAGCCTCAGTGGACAGGAGTGCTTGCGCTGCCCTTACCGTGTTCTCCTTGTGCAGTCTTCCCTGGGCTCAGCCTCCACCTCCACCTTCCAGCCACATGTGCCTTATAGCCCCTTTCGGGGGATGCCACCCTACAGCCAGCTGGCTGCCAGCTCCCTGCTCAGCCAGCAATATGCAGCCTCCCTGGGTCTCGGTGAGTAAGCGGGTTCTCTGGTACTGTGTGTGTGGACTAGTACGCATCCTTGGATAGGATTCGGTTCTGCAGCTGTGTCCAGAAAAACCCGTGTGTGTGCGTTCATGTGTGCTGTGCTCTCTGCAAGCCTGTTGGACACTAGCCGGTGTCCAGGCAGACCTTGGAGAGACCACCACAATAAAGCCCGTTCGTGAGAGTGTTCCCCGATGTTGGAAACTGTTTCCAGTAGATTAGTCTGTGAAGTGTAGAAGAACATCTTAAGAGTGTAAAATCTCGTGAGAACGATCTAAACGTGCGCACATGCTGTTGGAAAGTCTGCCAGTAACTTGCTCGACACGGGCTTGCCCCACAATTTCTGTCTGCAAAAGACAATTGCTTAGTGCAGTGTAGTGACAAGCAGCAGACAGGGTCTGCCGTGTCCTTACCGAGGTGTGCTTTTATGTTTGCTCTTTTCTCCTTGTCTCCCTTCAGAGAAGTTGGTCAGCCCTCCAGCCTCAGCCGCTGCCTCCAGCCCTAGCTCTTCTCCGTCTCCACAGCCTGTGTCAGAGCTTGACACGTCCTCCGAGCCACACCAGCTCACTTCCAAGGGTAACAGCAGTTTGGGGGTTGTAGTGTTGTCTGGTGATCCCGTGGCCCAGGGATGACAGGAGCTGGAGCAGAGGTGTTCTTGGTGAACTGTCCCTGCTCCGGGGAGGATCAGAGTCAGCCAGGGCCCGGTTCAGCTCTGCTCTGCACCTGACTGCACGAGCGGGACGCTCCTGCTCACAGAAGGCAGCTTCCTGGGGGTTTGTTGGGCACCAGACACTTATAGGGAGGGGACTTGTGTGTCCAGATTGAGGGTGTTTATGCTGCAGCAGAACTCCTCTGGCACTTTGGATGCCCGCACTGCTCCGCAATGTGTATGGGATGTGGGTGCACGTCCAAGGCACTGAGTAGGGGCTGCCCTTTTAAAACTTGCGCAGTGCCCCCAAGCTGCCTGACCACTAGGTGAGCAAGGACTGGCTATAAGGCAGCTAACACTGGCACCCACCTGTCTGCTGAGAGGGCATCATTGTCTGAAGTCCTTTCTACATTCTTGGACTCCTTGCGTGGTGCTGTAGTAGGATCAACACTGGACTGCCAACCACAGGATTAGCAGTTCAGACCCACCAGCTGCTCCTTGGAAACCCAATACAGGGTCACTATGAGTCGGAATCGACTCAACGGCACCTAACATCAACTTGTGATTTTACTGAAAGATGGGAAGTCCTGTGCTATAGACAGTTGTCACACACACCTGTTTTGTGCGTGGGTACTGTGTGCTTAACCATAGGTTGAGCCTGACCATGATGTGACTATTCATACAAGGTAGTAACTCAGGCTTTCCTAGGGTGCAGTGTGCTCCCGGGCAGGGCTCGGGGTCTGAGTCCCCGGTGGCCACTAGTGTGTGTAGGAGTCATGTCTGTTCCCACAGCAGTGCTAGATTAGTCTCAGGACCGCCAACATAAACTGCTTAAGAGTTCTGGGTTTAAAAAACTGGTTTGGCTTCATCAGAAGTGAGCCCACCCAGAGAACGTGAGCCTGAAGCAGTGAGGAGAGCTGCATGTGTGCTCCTTGGGTAGGGGGCACCAGCCCGTGTGGGACTTCGGGATTCTGGCCAGTCCTCGGTTTCTCTTGGGCTGCCTTTCATTTGAACTGACTCACAGCTCTCCATTTCTCCCTAAGTCCAGAACTGAGCAGCCCTCAGGGCCTGGGGAGGAAAGCTCAACGTATATAGTGTTCTCTGTGTACCTAGTGGGATGGGAGAGTCTGTCCTTAGCCTGTACCTTTACTGGGGAGTCAGGTGCTCGCCTTTGCTGCTCTTAATACTTCGTCCTTGTAAAGTGTATCACGTCTTGAGAAAAACTGCAGAATTACAGAATTTAACTTCCAGAGCATTTTCTGGAAGATCCCAGACTGGGCTAACACCCTCTAGAATGAAATGAATTCTTAGATCCCAAGTTCACTGGCATCTTGGGATATTGAGCTCCAGGGGAATTGGTGTGGGGGGTCTGTCCTGGTTCCCAGTGGTGTGGAGGGTCCCTAGAGATGGACTAGAGTCCTGGTGTGCTGCTTTGGGATGGACTGCAAAGTCGGTGGTTCAAACTCACCAGCTGCTCCTTGGAAAACCTCATCAAGGTTGTTATGAGTCGGAACCGACTCGATGCGCTTTACAGGTGAGTTGGCCTCAGTCTGCCTGAGCTAGCCCTGGAGAGAAGAGCCTTCCCTATTGGTAGAACGTTCTAGGCTGTTTCCCTGATAAATGCCCCTGGGAAGGGGAGAGAACTAACTAGGGGTTGGAGGGGCTGTCTGCTGATTTAAACCCTCCCTCTGGCCCCCACTCAGGAGCTGCTTTTCCGCCTGTCCCGCTCGGTAAGAGCCCCACGGTAGAGCAGGCTGTGCAGACAGGATCCGCTGACAACCTGACTACTAAGAAGCTGCTGCCCGCCAGGGGCTCGGCGGGGACACAGCTCAATGGACGCCAGGCCCAGCCCAGCAGCAAGACTGCCGGCGGTACTTGAATACTCCCCAGCATTCTCCTCACAGGGTCACAGCCCTAGCCCCCCGGGGTTTTGTCCAGCGCAGCTCTCATGACTGGGCTTATGAGTTCCACAGAAGCTTTGCCTGAATCTTTCCTTTTGCACCTTAGATGTAGCTCAGGCTGCAGCTGTGCAAAGTCAAGGGCAGGTGAATGACGAGAACAGAAGACCTCAGAGGAGGAGAGCAGGTATAGCTGCTGCCTCTGCTGCGGGCCCCTCCTGGGTTCTGGGGTACATGGCAGTAGTGGCAGCTTCAGCACTGCTTCTCTAGTCACCCTGCTGATGGCTCACGTCTGCCCCGCCCCCCCAGGGAACCGTCGAACACGGAACCGCTCCAGAGGGCAGAACCGCCCCACCAATGCAAAGGAAAACACCATCAAGTTTGAAGGCGACTTTGACTTTGAGAGTGCGAATGCTCAGTTCAACCGAGAGGAGCTAGACAAAGAATTTAAGAAGAAACTGAATTTTAAAGGTCTTACTTCTTTGTAAATGCTCGCTGTTCCTCAAGGAGCGGGCAAAGTATGTGCTCAAAGGGGAGTGGGCACAGTGAGCCAGTGGGGTGCACCAGCATGGAAATGAGCATCTAGGAGTCAATGTGGGGAACTGGCTGAGGGGGTCAGCAGCAGACTCCTTCCTGCGTGGTCCTGTGAGACCAGCAGTAGTGAGCAGGTGTGCAGAGAAGCCCCTAACTCATGTGTCTCTATGGCTTCTACTGTTTGTAGACGACAAAGCTGATAAGGGAGAGGAGAAAGATCCTGCTGTGGTGACCCCAAGTGATGAGGCCCCTGCCGAGGAGGAACTCCTGGGACCCAACTGCTACTATGACAAGTCCAAGTCATTCTTCGACAACATCTCCTCGGAGCTCAAGACCAGGTAAGCCCAACTGGAAGGGATGGTACTCTTGCATGTCTCCATCTCGGGCATCTTGGGATCACGCTTGGGCTTGTTCTAGTAGATCTGGAAGTCATTAGGCAGTTGGGAGTGTGGCCAAGGTCAAGTTCACTGTCCTCAGAGAGCCCACTGAACATGGTCAGCCACTCCACTTTCTTGGCTGACCCTGAGGCCTTGGTATCTGAGGCAGCAGACCTCACATTCTGGCCATGATACTGCTTGGTTTCTCCTGGCCAGGGACAGGACTGTCCCCAAGCAACTTGGATGGTAGATGAGGTCCGTAGCACTGACCTGGTGTGGGAGACCCCTGTCCATTCATCCTACAACTGGGACCAGGTGTGTTGCTAGGCATGTAGGTCACACCCTCCCCCCACACACGCTCGTAAGTTTTGGCAGAGAAAACAGGTCATGAACAAACAAAACTGGAGAGGGTGGGTGGGGGTGCTGAGGACATTGGTTGGGGTGTCGCAGACAGACCTAGTGTGAAGGTCTGACTTACAGAGCAGGCGGTGGATAGCAGAACCCTTAAGACTGGGTGGCTTCTGGTGCTCCTTAGCACTGAGGCAGCCTGGAGCACGTGTGGTAGGGTCTGTCCCATCCATTTCCTGAGTAAGAGTGGACTCGTATGGGCGGGCGGCTTCTGCAGTAACACAGACATCGGGCACCTGAAGATGGTGGCACAGAAGGCTGACCTCTGTCTGAATGTTGGGGCCTTGAGGAGAGTCCCAGGGCTTCAGGGTCTGGAGGAGTGGGAGGCTGGCTCAGACTGCAGGAGCCGGAACATCTGTGCACCTTGGCTGGGCTTCAGTTCCAGGCGCACCACATGGGCCGAAGAGAGGAAACTTAACACGGAGACCTTCGGGGTGTCGGGACGGTTTCTTCGTGGCCGCAGCTTCCGTGGTGGATTCCGAGGGGGCCGCGGCGCTGGCACGGCTCGCCGAAACCCGACCACCCACAGAGCTGGGACTGGCAGGGTGTGAGTCTGCAGCCAGGGTGAGTGAGGGAACTTTCTGGATCGAGTGCAGGCTTGAGGTGGAAGAGGGTTGAAATAATTCCTGTATGAAGAGCTGGCTGCTGTTTTCCACAAAACACTCCAGGAGTCCCAAGCCTGCCAGCTGATCACTGGGGTGAGCCTGTCCCATGACAGGGTGAGGACCCCTGCAGTGGTGGGTGTTAGGAACTGTCTTACCCCCCCCCCCCTTGCATCCTTGTGAGTAGGTAACAGGGCCCTAGGGGCTAGTCTGAGCGAGCTCCCATTGGGGTACTGAATGACAAGCATGTCTGGTGCTGACTCACCCTTTGGGGTGGCCAGCAGGGACCTGGAAGAGCTGGGCTCCCCCAGTGAGCTTCCTCCCTGCCATTTGAGTGTTCCCTATGGGCTGAGATCCCAGGGTTGCCAGACCTGGGGTGGGCGTTAGTGGCTCCTGCCTCGCTATGCCACTGCTTAAACCATATGGGATAGCTGGGAGCCAGCAACACAGTTACTGCAGTCACAAAGACCCATGGAAGACATGTACTTCTGTGGGAAGTCCCATCCTGCTCTGATGTGCTCTGTGTTAAAGCCTCTTGTTTTGGAGGACATGTCCCGGTGGCCTATTCTTTTCTATACACTAGTTTTTTGTTTTTTTTTCTTTCAGAAAGGTTTCCACAGTGCGAGCTTGAGCCTCCCTCAGTGACTTTTCTACTCTACGACAGACTTTTAAAGTGGAACCAAATTGCAGCCACCACCCCCACTGCCCACAGCCTGCCCTGGGAATGGGCAGGGGAGTGACTTATCAGGAGGATCATGTTGTACCGCAAACCAGGGTGTTCTGGTGGCTGCAGTGGTGGGTGTGAAGATTGCGGGCTGGTGAGGGGATCAAGGGGACCCTGGGGGTAGGTCTTTGGTGCAGAGAATCCGGGAGAAGGACTCCTGCTGGGGGCCAGACAGTGGCCGATTGGCCAAATATCCCCCTAGAAAACAAGTCAGCCTCTGCTCTCAATGTAAATAGTTGTGTTTTTTGTTCTCCAGGTGGGCTGAGGGAGGGCGGGCGGGCGGGCGGGCATATAAACTTGCTGCATGAGTAGGTAGCATGCGTCCCTGATGATGGGACATTTTGTCAAAAATAAGTACCTTGGTAAGGAAAAGCCTTCTCGTCACTCAAGGTTTAAGCTGTGTAGTACCAGTTGAGTTGCTGTAAAGCCTGCGTTTATTTTTGTAGGACTTCACAGCTAAGAACTAGAACCTAGCAAGGGGCTGCTCTGTAAATTGTAATTCTAAATAAACATGCAAATGTTCATGTTTCTCCTTCCTTTCTTACCTATCTATCAACTGCTCCTCTGGTGCCATGTGCTCGGAACAGGAGCTGGGAAGAGGAGGGGTCTGGTGGTGTTGAGGAACAAGCTGAGTAGGCCAGTGTGGGGGAAGTCCAGTGAAACAAGTCTGGGCCTACTGTGGGTAGTGGCCAGGGCCTCCTCCAACAGAAATGTTGATATACACGAGGTTCAGAGGTAACCTGTCTCACGACTGGCCCCTTCTCTGCTGAGAAGCAGTAGCTCCCACACTTTCAAGGAGCAAAAGAAAGGGGTACAGGATTATTCAGCTGGTCAGTGGGGCCAGTAGGCAGGGAAGCCAAGTCAGGCTGAAAGATGCCACTTCACTGCAGCTGGGTCACAAGTGTGACAACTTTCACACATTCTCTACAAGGGACACATCTGTGTGGCTGGGGCCATCAAGTTAGTTCAGACTCACAGGGCTCCTGTATAGGGTTTCTGAGACTATAAATGTTAATGGGAGCAGAAAGCTTCACACACACCGCCCCCCAACCACTGACAGGTAGACTCAAACTCTTGGCCCTTGCCATTAATAACTGCACTGGAAATCGGCTGCGTTACCACTAGGGCTCCTAAAGCAATTTGGCACGGCCTTTGAAATTTGGGGTTGAGTCCAGGGCTCTTGCAGAACCCTTGTGTTTATGGGGCTCACACCCAGTGGTCTAAGCTGCAGAGTTGAGGAGTAGTCATCTAGAAGAAATAAAGGAGTCTCCCCTCACCCCACAGAATTGATCCCTGCCACAGTGGCCCCCAACTAACCAACTGGGCAACTGCAAGCTCTGCCAGAACTTCAACACAATTCCCAAGCACAGAGAGACATGTGGAGTGCTCCACTACCTGTGCCCTACCAACTGAGACCAGGCACAAGGGGAGACCCCAGAATTTACCCCCAAGATCTCGAAACTGACTGTCCTAGCGGTTACTCTGGGCATTTTCCTGTGAAGGAACAGCTTTGGGCTGGAAGAGTGCCGGGGACATTGGGAAGATAAAGGTAGTAACTTCACTTCCAACAGGAAGTGTACCGTAAAGCCAAAAGCAGCAAATGAGTCCTAAGCATTGGAGGAAAAGAGGCTTTGTTTCTGAGGCTAAATGCCTCAGGATTTGAACAAACACCTGAAGGGCATGGTCCTCCAACTGTGGCCTCAGCCTGTCCAGGGCAGCAGAAGACACCTGTGTCAGTGGGTTCCCACCCTGGAGGGAACAATTCTCTCAAGAGCCACTGTAACGACACCTGAGAAATCATGTTCTCTTTAAAAAAAGGTTAAAAACTCCGGAGGTTTATTGCTGGACCCATCACTGAGGACGTCATGAGGACGTCATGACTACGTCATGAGGACGTCATCACGGCAGGCAGTTGCTTCATGAGGCTTTCTTTTGTTTTTTCTTTTCATTTTCTTCTTTTTCCTTTTCAATTTCAGCAACATATTTTTCAATTTCTTCAGGGTTTAAAATCTACCAAAAAAAAAAAAGTGAGTCCGGGCACTTGGTCCTCAGCTGGTGTCACCCTCCCTGCCCATAGACCAAAGTGCAGACAAGGAACAGGTGTGACCTTTACCTTGAGAGGCTGATCACGCCGCATGACAGCAAGCTCAATGTTTTTGCCACCTGACTGGACTACCTGGAGGAATGAGAAAACAGCTTGGGTGGCTCTCATCACCAAAGGGGGCTTCCGCAGGCACCTCAAGTGGTCAAAGCCCTAGTACCCACCCTCCTGTCCTAAGGCACACTGGCTATCGGGACTCGCTGCCCCGTTCCACAAAAGCCCCAACTAGTCACAGCCACATGGAGTCGATGTGGAGGCAGCAATTCTACGGAGCATTTCCTAGACACTAAATTATTTCTCTCTGAGGTGCTGGTGGTTTTGCAGTCCAGTGCTTGTCCTAAAGTTCCACCAGGACACCTGGTGTCAGTCCCTGACCTTTCCACTCCCTTGACAGCAACACAGAGCCTCAGCAGGATCCTATATCCAACACTGCCAACAATGACCTGCTTTCTACAGTCGCTGATCCTGACTTGTGTCACAACAAGGACTAACCCAGCAACCATGCAGACCCGCCATGACTTCCAGCAGCCACCCACATCTTCCTCGGACCAGCAGCAGCACGTGGTGGATGCACACTTACCTCCAGAAGGGCCTTGATGACCAACTTAATGGCCAAGTTGTCTGTCTCGATGGCTTCGTCAGTGTAGTTCTTCTCCAGGAACTCTCGGACTGACTTGGCCCCACGGCCAATAGCATTAGCCTGGAACAGACCCGTGCAGCTCAGAGCCCCTGCGTGGCTGGCCAGCAGCTGCCCTGCCCCACCGTTCACTCCCACAAAGATTCTTAGATTTGATGTCGACTAAGCCGCGGTCACATCATTATGAAAGGCATCGCTGTGTCTCCCACACCTCTGATGCTCCCCGAAACACCAGTGCTTAACACTCTGCTCCCATGTTGTCAGAACTGCCATGGAAGCACCGCATTTTATATGTCTCTGTCTCTGACTGGGACCTGATGCCTCTTTCTGAGAAGGCAGCCAGGCTCACCTTCCAGGCATGGTAGGTACCCGAGGGGTCAGTCTGATAGAGCCTGGGTGTGCCGTCGAAGTCAAAGCCCACGATGAGGGCAGAGATGCCGAATGGTCTGCGCCCGTTGCTCTGTGTGTAGCGCTGCCGGGAAACGAGACAAGTTAGCACTGCTCTCCCAGCCTCTGCGGCTGGCATGAAAGGCTCCCAGTGACACTCAAACTACTCCATGCGCCTCAATGTTCTATTGAGGAGGAATGGATTTGACCGTTCAGGCCACTTAGAGTTGAGTGACAGATAGGCAGCCTAGAGCTGTTGACATTCCAATGCATTTCTGTTCCTCTTAGAAAGATGCCTCGGTGACTAGGCCTGCTAGGGGGCATCAGTCTGACAGGAAAACACATGGGCTCTGGCTATCAAGGGAGCCTGGCAGTCAGCCTCGCTTCCCAGTGTGACCTCTCCATTTTTAGTGCCCTACACCACAGAAATGGACCCATACACAACAAAGACCAGGGTTGCCCCCAGTCTTCTGACCGCCCACCTGCTTGAGACTGGCAATATAGCGGGTGATGTATTCCACAGTGACGGGGTCCTCTACCGTCAGCCGGTGGCTCTGGCACTCCACCCGGGCCCTATTGATGACAATCCTCGCGTCGGCAGTGAGGCCTACAACGACAGTGGAGCAGGTTTCTGCCTGAGCCACACCTGTCCAGGTAAGACAGCCAGGTACCTGGACCATAGGAGGGGCTGCAGGCAGGTGGGGGTCACCCGCCCAAGCTTCCCTGAGAACTTCAGTGTATGAAAAATAACACCACATGGAGACCAGGGCTGCACTGGTCAGCAGCTTGCCCTCTATCTTCGAGTGGCACGTGCAGCCCTGCCAAGACTGCTTGCCTCCCCCAGATGACAACAGAGAAACGGCCTGCCCTGGAGCCAAGAGGTGTTCTGAGACACTCCCACCAACCCTTTCAAGATCCAAATCTATTTCTTGTCATCAAGGATTGAACTGAGGAACCCCCACCCCAAATACGAGGGGAATTCAAAAAGTTATGGAATGAAAGACAGCGAATTCTTTCCTGATAGTCTTGCAGCCCCCAGTTTGTGTTGCCTTCCTGGCCCTGGGTGTGAGCCTGGGTGGACCACTGTAGGGTGGACCACTGTAGGGTGTGACGAGCTGGCCAGGCCCAGGGAGGAAAATGGGAAAAGAGCTACCAAATGGGGATCCCCAGGGAATACCAGAGAAGCAACAAGAAGGATCCACCGAGTCTCCACAAGTTCACATGCAGCCTCCTGAACTGTGAGAAAGTCAAGGTTTCTTAAAGCCACCTATTTGTGTCTACATTCCTGCAGCACTAAGAAACTAACACGCTCGGCTGGTCAGTGGTTCTGGTTGACACATCTGACACATCCTCAGACAGGTACCTGCAAATGCCATGCAAACATTGTCGTCCAAAGCACAGATTTTCCGCACTGTCCTCTCATCCTGCAGTTTGGCCACAGATTTCTTCTCCACTCCAAGAACAACAATGTCTCGTCCTCGAACGCCAACCTTCAATGAAATCAACAAACCACTTACTATAAGTGACCGGAGGTCTGCCACCAGGCATGCCCAGTACTGTGGTCAGCAACCCTGGTATCAATTCCCTGCTGTTAGACCTAGCACCTGGTCCCCTCCCCTAAAATGCTTAACGCTGGCCTTTAAGATACAAACAGTTGTTAAGTGTCGTGAAGTCGGTTCTGACGGACATCAACCCTGTATAGGGGTTCCTAGAAACAGCTGGTGGGTTTGAACTGCTGACCTGGGGTTTGCTGATCCACCAGGAGTCCTGTTCCAATCCTAACAAGTGTGAATAATTACCACATAAACACCAAGAGCACGTTTATCATTTTAAGCTGATGAATCAGATAGTCACCGTGAACGTTGTTGGAGTCCTGGTGTGGCACTGTGGGATCAGCCCTGAACCGTAAGGGCATTTGAACTGCAAGGTTGGCGGTTCCAACTCAACAGCCACTACTTGGAGACTCCATACATGGTTGTTCTGAGTAGGAACCGCCTTGATGGTACATAGCAACAGCCTTGCAGGGTGTCATCAAGTCAATTCCGACTCCTAGTGACCTCATGTTAACACAGAACTGCCCCACAGGGTTTCCTACACTACCCTCTTTATTGGAACAGATAGTCAGATTTTTCTCCTGGGAAGCCACTGGTGGGCCTGAACTGCAACCCCTGGGCTAACAGATGAGCGCTTAACCATTTGCATCACCAGGGATCCTAACTGTTAAGTGCCATCGAGTCGGTTCTGATTCCTTGTGGCCCTGTATAGGGTTTCTGAGGCTACAGATCTACACGGGGACAGAAAGTCTCCTCCTATGGAGCAGCTGGTGGGTTTGAACCTCTCCTCTGTGGTTCACAGTCCAGTGCTTATTCATACAGAGCCAGCATGCTCCAGGAGTCCTTGGCATTACCCAAACCCAAACTCGCTGCGGTTGAGTTGATTCCAACTTAGCAACCCTGAGGAGGGTTTCCTTCCTAGGAGCCTGGCTGGTGGGTTTGAACTGCAAACCTTGTAGTTAGTCCGGTGCTTAACCTACAGTGCCATGCCAGGACTCCCCTAAGTACATAGATATATTTTTAAAAAGCTGTCACCAGAGTCAATTCTGACTCACAGCAATCCCAAAGGACAAAGTAGAACTGTCCCAAAGGAATGGTGAAGCAGTCTTCCTTACGGGAACAGAGCTGCCGGTGGGTGCACACAGTTGGCCTCTCAGTTAGCAGCTGAGCAGTTACCCACTGCACCACCAGGGCTCCTTAACACTGAAGTCAGGTGTTCTGAAGTTCTTGTTTCTGCAGTTGTGAAATTACAAACCTTTCAGATGGGGGTGGGCTGACATGAGGGACAACCAACAACCGGGTCAATTGTCAGGGAGGGCAAACACGTGATCACCCCCAGGAATGAGTAACTCCCCCATCTCAATGGAACTGAAGACACTATGGGCTGGCTCTTGGTGAGGGGCCTGAACAGCCTTCCTGGCCTCCACTCTCATGGCTATCAAAAATGTCTCAATGTGCCCAATGCCCTGGAGTAAAATCCACCCGCAGCTCAGAACCATCTAACCAACCGACGTGCAATGGACGTCGGCGAAGTGGCCAACTGATCCCTCTGCTGATGGTGTCCAGTGGATGCGCTAGGACCTTAATTTCAAAACGGTGAAAAATGGAAAAGACAGCTGCGTGAGCTTTCTCCCGAGTTCAGCAAAGCATGCTCAAGTTCGCAGTCAGTGTGGGGCTCTATCATGAGTTCAACACAGCAGACCAGGTGCAGGAAGTGGCTGCGCTGAGGGAGGACTAATATGGGCGGGGCGGGGCGGCTTCCCAGGGTCCAGTGGTCAGATCTAGGGGCGCCCAGTAGTTATCCCACAGCCTGCCCAGGCCCTGCGCCGCTGACACACCAGGGCCTTTGCAAAGACACCCCGTAACGCCCAGATGTCCCCCAACACACCAAGGGAGCCTGCACCAGCCAGCCCTCTCAAGTCGGCGGGTCACCCGCACGTCCGACCTGGGAAGGGTGACCGTGCCAAGATGGCCGTCACCTTGCCAGCATCGAGCTGGGTTCAGAGGTGCACCCTGCCACAATTACAGACACTAGAGACGGAACAAGTGAAAGCCACCCAAGTGTCGGTCCCCCCTCCACCAAACTGCCATTTCTGAAAGCACCTGTCAATCACCACCGAAATTACCCTCAACGCCTGGCGCTATGGATTTTCGGCCATGTCCCGGCTGTTTTGCCTAACAAACCGCCCCTGCTCCCCGACTCCCCTAGCATTTTCCTCTTGGACGCCAGATCCTTGCTTCGCCTTCCGTTAAAATAGCGAGCTCCTCTAAACCCCCAGAATCCTGAACTCGCCTTGTATTAAAAAAGCCCAACCGGCCCATCCAGAGCCCGGAGCGGCCGTCAGCTCGGCGGCGTGGTCAGTGGAGTCAGGTCCCGGGGAGAGCCTTCCTGTCCACTCTCTAGACCCTGCCGCTCCAGGCCGCAACCCGGGCCCAGGGACCCGCGAGATGCAGGCATCAGTGCACGCGGCAACTCAGGCCAGGTAACTCGAGGCCGCAGCCCTTCCTGAAAACCTCCCCGCCGTTTTGGGGATCCTCCCAGCTCAATCCCGGGGGATTCTGCAGCGCGCAAGCCCCAGGGAATTCCCGGCCCAGGGCGAGGCCTGCCAAACCCCCTTGCAGTTCCGGGCTGCCGGGCCCAGAACGCAGCCCTGGCCTTCCTCCCTGTGAGGTCCGGAGCGCGCACCCTCCCGAGAACCCCAGTGCGCCCGGACCCGCTCGCGGCCCACTTCCGTCTAGATCACCGGGCTCGCGCAGGCCTCGGCGCGGCCGCCCTCACCGCAGTGGAGCCCTTCTTCACGGCCTCCTGCGCGTATTCCACTTGGAAGAGGTGGCCGTCGGGCGAGAAGACGGTGATGGCGCGGTCGTAGCTCATGGCCGGGCGCGGCGCGGCCTGCTCTGGAGACTACCGGGTGCGCTCCCGGCCCGCTGGTGAGCCCTGACTGCGGACCAGCGCGCTCTTGCTCAAAAGCGCACACTCATGCGCCGCCGCAGCGGATTCACCACGCCGCCCTACGGCCTACGCTGCCGACGCATGACTACGCCGCCGCCGGAGGCCGGCGCTACAGATGGTGACCTACGCTGCCGACGTACGGCTGCGCTGCTGACGCACGGCTACGCTGCCAACGGAGGCTTGCGCTGTTGACGGAGACCTATGCTGTCGACTGGCCCTAAGCTGCCGACGCACGGCTACGCTGATAGCGTACGGCGTGGGCGGGCGCCCGGAGCGAACCATGACAGACGCAGGGGAGCCCGTGGTGGCGACAGAGGGTGGGCGCGGTGTGCCGGTCGGGAAGCAGGGCAGGCGGCGTGGGTCGTGAGACTGGAAACTGCGACACGCGCGCGCGCGGGGAGGTGGGCGGGCAGGCCGGAGCTCACGGCGACGGCGGTGGGCCGGGCGAGTCCACGACTCGGCGCCCCCCGCCCGCCCCGCCCCCACCGCTGCGGAGACGGAGCGCCCTCGGACGCGGCGCGCGGCCAGAGAATAAGCCCAATGAGCCAGGGCTGAGCCGCCGCCACCATGTCCGTGGCCTTCGCCTCCGCCCGGCCGAGAGGCAAAGGCGAGGTCACGCAGCAGACCATCCAGAAGGTGGGTCAGCGGGCCGGGGCGGGAGGCGCGTGGGGGGCGCGGGGCCGGAACAAAGCGGGCGCCGCCGCCCCGAGGCCGCCCAGCCGGCGCCCCCCGCGCGCTCTCCCGGCGACCCGGAGGCGCGTCGTCCGCAACCCGTGCAAGTTCGCGGGGGGCGCGGGACCGGGCGGATGCGGGGATGCAGTTTTCGCGTGCGCGCCGGAGCAGTGCCGGGCGGGCGAGGGCTGGTTGCGCTCGGCTGCAGCCCGGGGGGGCGCGGCGGCTCGGCCGCTCCGATGCGCACGTTGGCGAGCGGAGAGGGGCCGGGCTGGCCTGGGGACGCATGGCCGGGGCCGCCCCGCCGCCTCTTCGAAGGTGCTGACAAGATCCCAGCCCCGCAGCTGCTAGAGCGGCCGCTCACCGCCAGCTCTTACTTGCGTGCCGTATTGTTGCTAGTTAGGCACCTGATTTGCTTCCTCACCCAACAGAAACTTTGCAGGTTATCTTTGTAGCGTTCCACTTCTCCGACAAGCGTGGCACTGCTATTTTCTAGGGGTATCATTTACCTGGGTCTGGAGACACCTTTAACAAACACGTTTTAGACAAAAGACTGAAGCTTTGAAGGGGAGAATTTAAACGTCCTGTCGTTTTTCGTTAGAAGGAGATCCGTGGTAGGCATTGCATTTAAATTTCTCCCAAAGTCTTCCGTAACTACCTAGCTTGCTTTTCGAAACTCGGATTCTATCTTTTCCCCTCGGTCCCCAGGAGCTCCCTGTTTTCCTTGGGGGTGCACCTTGTTCACTGTGTCTCTTGTTCCTTGATAATGGGTCGGTCCTTTGTGGAAACAGCCTTCTGTCTGTGACCTGTCACAGTACTAATAGTAAGTACTGTTGGTCTTAAGTCCTCAATGCGTTTTGAAAACAAGGAGATTCAGCCAACTCTGAACAGAAGAAGATTATTTGGGAAGCAGAAGATTGCAGAGCCTGGCATTTTTGTTTCTGTAATAAACACACATGTGTGCTTACTGTGTACTAGGTACCATTCTGCGGGTTGCTCAGGTCCTAATTCGGTTTACTTTCTTAGTAAGTGCTTACTATCATGCCCATTTTATAGCTGAGGATACTGAGGCCTGGTGAGGTTAAATGCCCGTCTGGTAAGTGGTGAAGCCCAGTCAGGCCCAGTCCAACAGTGATGCTGACCTGGAGCCTCCCAGCCACCCTGGTTATGGGAGCGGATGTGTGACAGGTTCAGTCCTTGTTCCTCTGGTTTCAACTTCTCCTGGCAGGTGTGTGTGATCACCCACTCCCACCCTTAACACACAGTGATCAGAAAGAGCACAAAATGGCCTTGGGTGTAGTAGGCAGGCAGCTGGCTTGCCCTTGTCGCTGGCCAGTCCACACCCTCCTTCATGGGCGCTTTGGACAGTGAGTCCATGCCCCCAGAGGGCCGTTTGTGCCCTGCTGCACTGATGGGGGCGGTGACCACAATGTGTGCTCATAGGCTCTGGCTGAGGGTCTTGAGGGCTCCAGGGGTGATCGGGAAGAATTTTTCCAGGCAAACTCCTACTCTGCCTTCCACACCCAACTCAAATGTCTCCTCCCTCCTAGACACTCGGCACACAGCTGCTCATTGAGCTGTCTTGAGGCAGGCACTGTTTTTGGGCTCAGTATGTACTAAGTAAGTCTGCATGACGTTTGTTCCATCAGAGGGAGTATTCTGGGATGGGCAGACATGCAGAGAAGGATCCCTGGTGGCACACCAGGTTAAGCATTGGGATGCTAACCACATGCTTGTTGTTTTCCCGCACAGCCCTTGGGCCACCGTGAACCTCCCTCCGCACTACGGATGTTCAGGTGCAGTCCCTGAAGAAAATCCCTGTTGTAAATCCGAATCTCTGCACCAGGTGGGGAGGTGGCAAAGGGACAGCCACAGCCAGGCCCTTGTTCCCTACTGCCCAGGAACACCTAGCACTAAACTCCCTGCAGGGTGCGCCCCCAAGCAGATGTTCACCTGAGCCCCTTCAGTCATGCAGCACTCCCTTGCCCATTTGCCTCTCTCTGCTCAGATTCTTTTGCCACCTCCCCTTCCCCCATCTGCAGCTGTGCTTGGAGCGGGAATCTGACACACCGGAGTACCCCTGGTGTCCTCCTGTTCTCTGGCTACTGTTCTGTGTGCTTGAGGACTGGGGGCAGTGTTCCCGAAACACGCCCCCCCCCCAATAGCAGTGTCATGCCTAACCCAGCCGACACTGGATAATAGCCCAGGCCCCATAGCGAAGGACCATGCCATGGTGTCCTGTGTATCCTGTGGACCAGAGCCAGGGCTCCCCTGCCTGACCAAGCACGTGCACCCTGAACATACAAAAGCTGAATCAGGTCCAGAGAGGACTCCTGGGACCAGGACTGGGGAACTGACTGGCCAAAACGTCACGTTGTTGTTGTTGTTAGGTGCCACCAAGTAGGCACCGATTCTTAAGGACCCTGTGCACGACAGAACAAAATACTATCCGGTCCCACAGCAACCTCACAGTCATTGCTAAGCCTGAACCTGTTGCTGTTACCATTGTGTTCAGACATTTCGTTGGAGGTCTTCCTATTTTTCTCTGACCCTCCACTTTAAGAAACATGATATTCTTTTCCAGGGACTGGTTCCTCCTGATAACCTGTCCGAGTATGAGATACGAACCCTGGCCATCCTGGCTTCAAAGAAGTATTCTAGCTGTACTTCTTCCAACACGGATCTGTTTGTTCTTTTGGCAGCCCATAGTACTTTTAATCTTCTCCAACACCGTAACTCAAATGCATCAATTCTTCTACGGTGATCTTTTTTTCACTATTCAACTTTCACATGCATATGAGGTTATTGAAAATACTGTGGCTTGGATCAAGCTCACGTTAGTCCTCAAAATGACATCTTTGTTCTTAAACACTTTAAAGAGGTCTTTGCAGCAGATTTGCCATATGCAATATGTAGCTTTCTTTATTTCTTGACTGCTGCTTCCATGAATGTTGATGGTTAATCTGAGCAAAATGAAGTCTTTGACAACTTCAGTCGTTTTCTATTTATATGGATGTTGTTGATTGGTACAGTGGTGAGGATTTGTCGTTTCTTTGCATTGAGACGTAACCCATACCGAAAGCTATGCTCTTTACTTTCAGCAAGTAACATCACGTGGGCAGTTGAAATGGTGTGTTGATCTTTTTTTTTTTTTGAACAGTGCCTAAATATTTATTTTTCAAAATGTACATTTTCAGATTAGAGGGGTTTACATTGAATGACAAGGAGCTTTGGTAGCGTAGTGGTTACGAATCGAGCCGCGAACCGCAAGGTCAGTAGTTCGAAACTACCAGCTGTTCCGCATGAGAAAGATGAGACTTTCTGTTCCCATAAAGATTTACAGCCTCGGAAACCCTGTGCAGGGTCGCTATGGGTCGGAACCGACACCACAGCATTTAACAACAATAACATCGCTCCTTAAATCTGTGATTGTTGATTTCTACATAATGGATTACAAACCGCATAAAACCCACAGCTGTAGCTCCGGAAGGGAGTGTGCACCTTAGTCCACCTGTTACCCTTGTGATCCATTGAACCAGTTGTTGAATGTAAACTGCAAATAACCTGGACACATTCCACTGCAACATAAAATGTTTCTGCCACCTGTATTGCTCGTTTCAAATCAGAAATCGTCTGGGACCTGGGCTCTGAAGGCTGAGCTGCAAGTGGGCATGGTCTGACTGCCCTGGTGGTGGTGTGCGCTTCGCCTTTCGGTGCCTCAGTTTCCTAGTTCTCGCACGGAGCTGGACTCCCTCACTGGCTGCAGAGGTGATGGGATTCACAGGGGGTGGGGTTGGGGGGTCTGTTGCTATCTGTGTCGAGTCAGCTGTTGTTTGTCGAGAGGAAGTGGGTGAAGTGGAGTTTATCCATGTTGGCCTGCAAGGATGGGTCCAGGGCATGCTCCTTGGAAGGACGGCTGGCATTGGATGACGTGCCCAGTGTCGTGGATTTCGATGTGGTGTGCAGGGACTTTCTCTCAGGCAGGGTTGCATGTGGTGCTCTCAGGGACCCGGGTCCCACCTTGTATTTATTCTCTGCAGTCCGCACAGTGGATCTTATGTGCGAGCACCTCAGTTTTGTTTGTTTTCAAAACCCCCACACCCTGTCCACTGGCCTGTAGTTGGGTGACTGCTCAGAGGGGCCCCGAGGTGCTGTCGAACAACTACTCTGTTGGAGGTGCTGCCCACATGCTGGGCTGGGAGGCTCCGGGGCAGTGTCTGCTGGGAGAGTGGGAGCAAGAGAGGGCACAGGTATGGGTACTGCTTTATCTCACCTGGTTAACTCAGCCAGCTGCCCAGGGCACATCCCCTTGTTCATGAAGGGCAGTCATGGGGGCACTGTTTCCAGCTGCAGGAGGTGGAAACAAGTTAGGCTGGTCAGAAGAGCCTAGCCTTGTATTGGATGGCCTGTCCACTGTGGTGAACCTGCAGCCTGGCTAGCAGTGAGGTTGGCTCTTCATGGCCCCTAGGAAGTCTCCTGTTTGTGTGGGAAGTGGGGGAGAGGCTTCATGTTGGGGAGCCGTGATGGAGTGATCCCCCCCATTTCCTTTTGGAGACCCTTTCCCAGATTTCTGCCTAAGACCCCCAGTCCCTCCCTGCTGCCCTCTCCTGGATCTGTGGCCTTCCTCCCTCACCTGCCTGGTGGGGTTCTACAGGTGGCTGTAGCGGCCGTCTCTCGTCTGCACGTTCCTGTTTCCAGCAGTCCCGTGCCCTGAAGGCCACGTTTGGGTCCTTCTCCTGCACAGCTGTTGCTTTTCCCTGGGCTTGTCGATTCCAGTTGTCACGAATCCATTCCCGACTCTCAGCTGCAGGAGACTCACCTCAGGTGTTGCACCAGGTCTGTCTTCTTGGGCTCCTGCTCTTGGTCCCACTGCTATCCGCCCTGCCTCCTTTGCTTTCTCTAGTGTGGGGTTCATTGTTTGGGTGGAGCACATCCTTGAGTAGCTTCCTGAGAACAGGTGGTTGTCAGTAGAGTAGCACTGCCCCCATAGGGCTCCCTAGGCTGCCATCTTGGCATTGGTGCTTCTTCTGATTTGGAAATTTCAGCTGAGAGGAAATGTCCTGAACAGTGATCTGGGTGAGTTTTCTCCACTTGTTTTCTTTGGAAGACTGATTCTTGCTGTGTGAGAAGCTTCTAATTTCATTATCTTTTCTATTTTCCTCTCCGACTTTCTGGAGTCTTCTTCAGCTTTGTATCCAACCCTTCTGTCAAGTGCCTCATTTTGGCCAACAGACATTCGTTCCCAGGCGCAGTACTGAAATCCTTTTCTATTCCTGTTACTTTGTATGTGTGGAGTAGCATTCTGTTCTTGCTCATGTATGCAGTAAACAGATAGCCCTTCTCTCTCAGAGAGTTAACTGTGGTCAGGTTTTGAGGTTTTCTCTAGCGTGATGGTTAGGGTCCCTGCCAGCTTTTGCTCTATGGCTCCTATTGGCCTTTGTCTTTCCTAAATAAGTCATCCCCACGTGCTGGCACACCAGGTGTGGTCTGGGGGCTTCACCTGGAGGTACTTACTCGCCCCCCAGTGGTATGAGAGGTTAGAATTGCAGGGGCACAGGCACGCCACCATCCCTACTCAGGTGCTTGCACGGTTTGTTTTCCCCTGAATTTTACTTATTTTGTTCTTCTTGTTGAGACACCGATTCTACAGTTTCTGCATGCATGTTTAGTAACATTGATGACGTTCTTCGAGTTGTGTCACCAACCTCTCCTTCCTCTTCCGAGTCATTCCTCCCCCATGGATGTGAACTCACTGCCCCCTAAGGTGCTGACCTTTCCAGTTGCGTTGTCAGTTTGACCTTGTATAGGCAGTTCCTCAGCACATGCTGCTGGGGCTGGTGGGCTGGTGGTGATGGTGGTGGTGTGCACTCGAGTCGGTTCTGACTTTAGCAACCTTGGTTAAGGTTTCTGAGGCTGTGACTCTGATGGGAGCAGAAAGTCTCATTTTTCTCCCACAGAGTGGCTGGTAGATTCAAACTTCTGACCTTGCAGTTAGCAGCCCAATGCTTAACCCACTATACCACTTGTTGTTGTTAAGTGCTGTCGAGTCAATTGTGACCCATAGCAACCCTGTATAGGGTTTCCAAGGAGCAGCTGGTGCGCTTGAACCGCCGACCTTGGAGTTCAAATAGCTTTGTAGTCTGGTGCATTAACCCACAGCGCCACACCAGGACTCCCTACAGAGCATCTGAAGGGGCTCCAAAAATCCTGTGGAAAAATTCTATATTCTTTTAGTCCCCCTTTCCATGAACTTTTTGAGGCCCCCTTGTAATGCTTAAAGCAGGCCTTTTTTACTAGTTAAGCTGAACGAGTAAACTAGTATTTGCATTTAAGAAGACTTCAGGGAATATTTTCGGTTTAAAGATTAAAGATGATTACAACAATAGTATTAGGAGATCATTCAGCTATGATTCCAGACCGTCTGTACTGTATGGAAGTTGGAGAGTCTGTTCTGGATTTTCTCCCCTTTTGATCAGGATCCTCCTACAGACTCTCTGATCAAAATGTTCAGTTGTGGTATTGAGACACCATCCAGTTCTAGTCTTGTAGCAGAGGAGGCAGGTGTTCCTGGAGGCAGTTAGCCACGCATTCCAAACCCTCCTTCCTCGGCTGCTGCAGGCTAGTAGTGTCCCATTGTGCCTTGGATGGCTGCTTGCAAGCTTTTAAGACCCCAGGCACTAAACAGTGAATGAGGAGACAGCAGACACTGGGATGCCCCAGGAAATCATGACCCTAAACCTCCAAACCAAGGAACCAAAAATCCCAGCGTTGTTTGGATATACAGGCAGCTACGTGTGTGTCTGTCACACAGCTTTTGCCGATTTAGCATTTTGCAGGTGTATAGCTTGTTGGCAGCAGGTGCAGTGATGGACTGGGGTGTTGATGTGATGCTGTAGGCTAAACACTGGACTGAAAACACTCAGTGCCATGGAGTCGATTCCAACTCATCATGACCCTGTCCAGCAGGGGTGGGGAACATCTGGCCCATAGGCCGTATGTTGTTGTTGTTAAGTGCTATGGAGTTGGTTCTGGCACATAGCGACCCTGTGTAGGCTTTCCGAGGAGCGTCTGATGGGTTTGAACCGCCTACCTTGCAGTTCAAACTGACCTTGCGGTCCAGCGTCTTATCCTGCTATGCCACCCACAGTGGGACTCCACGGCTGTATAGGGCCTGCACAATTATCTGGCCTGGTCCTGCCAAGGCAACCGCAGTTGCAGCCATCACATCTGTTGTTGTTAAGTACTGTCAAGTTGGTTCCGCATCATAGCGACCCTACATAGGGTTTCCGAGGAGCACCTGGTGAGTTGCAACTGCTGACCTTGTGGTTCAAATCTACCCTGAGGTCGAGTGTTTTATAGCACCAGCACATTAGGGGTGAGTTCATTAAATGTTTGACCAAGTATGTTGTTAAGTGCCATCGAGTTGCTTCTAACTCATAGAGATCCTGTATAGGGTTTCTGAGGCTGTAAATTTTTACGGGAGTAGAAAACCTTACCTTTCTTCCATGTAGCGGCTAGTAGATTTGAACTACTAACCTTGAGTTTAGCAGTCCAGCTGATAATTCGGTATACTACAAGAGCTCATTTGAGAGTGTGTGTGTGTGTGTGTGTGTGTGTGTGTGTATAGCAGGCTAATTTTTAGGTTGATACTTTCTTATGGCCCGTGAATGATACAAATTTTGGCAGAGAAAAGGTTGCTCACCCCTGCTGTAGGTTTCTGAGACTGTAAATCTTTATGGGAAAAGACAGCCTTGTTTTTCTATCGTGGAGCAGCTGGTGGGTTTGAACTGCTACCTCACTGTTAGCAGACCAGTGCTTATCCATCCAACAGCATGGCCAGGGCTTCCTAGCAACAACATTGTTAATCAGTGCTGTTTCCATCACTGACAACTCTCCCTCGCTTCCCTTCTTCCTCCCCTGGTAACCATTTGTCTTTTCTTGTCACTTACGTGAGATCATGCAAAATTTGTTCTTTTGTCATTTACTTACTTCGCTCAGCATATTAATATGTCTTCAAGCTCTATCCTGTAGCTTGTGTCAGGATGTCATTTCTCATTGTCTGAGTCTGGGACACTTTGTGTTGATCCATTTCTCTGTTGATGGGTGTTTAGGTTCTTTGCACCTTTCAGCTGTCATGAATAGTGCTGCACTGAACCTGGGGTACAAGTCTCTGCATGAGTGTCTTGCTTTCAAGTCTTTTGGGGCTTAAATACAGGTGTGGAATACTGGGTCATGGAGAGTTCTATTTTTAGGTTTTTGAGAGAGCATTCCCACCAGCAGTGGGCAGGGGCGCCAGGTTCTCCACATCCTCACAGCATTTGTTCTTTTCTGTTGGTTTTTTAACCATCCCAAACCCACTGCCATCGAATTGATGCTGACTCACAGGGATCCTGTGGAGGGTTTCTGGCACTATACATCGTTAAGGGAACAAGTAGCCCTTCTTTCTCCCTTGAAGCCGCTGGTGCGTTTGAGCCACTGACCTTGTAGTTAGCAGTACAGCACGTAACCCACAGTGCCCCCAGAACTAGCCGTCCTTGTGGGAGTGAAATGGCACCTCGCTGTAGCTGTTTGTGTATCGCTGATGACTGATGAACCTGTTAGACTTTCTATTGGGTGAGTTCTTTGTGTCCAGCTTTTTTTTTTTTCCTTGCAAAACAATCACAATGTAATATTTTCTCATGCTTATAAATGTCCTTGGGCCCCTTGCTGGTCAGATTGGCTACATGGGAAAGGAAGATAGCGTTAACCACGTCCTCTCTTGGTTTCCTCTGGAAAGAGTTGTCTGTGTCTTCGGTTGTCCTCACCTGTTTGGCAAGCCAACAGCACCCTCCAATGGGTCCTTCGTCCAGGTGGAGCCACAGAACCAAGATGCTAAGCAGGGGAGAGGTGTCAAAATAAAAACAGAACCGCAAAACTGAGCACTCTGTTCCTGCCTTGGTTTCCCCATCTATAGAACAGGGCTACAAGTCCTGTCTCTGAGGACCGTTTTGGATTCAAGGACACATGGAGAGTCCGGCACCTCCAGGCTGGGGAGGATGCCAGCTGACATGCCCCATGATGGAAGTCTGGCATGTGCCCCTCAGAGGCTGGCTTGGGGTACAGTAGGGGCCTTGGAAGGAGTGGGACTCCCAGGGTGGGTGGAGGGCTGGCAGCCCTCAGACTGGGGCAGGATGCTGGACAGGCGGGCTTGGTGAGGCAGGGGGCCACTTGCTCTGCAGTGCCATTCCTGCCCCTCCCAAGGCGGACTGTAGCCTCCCTCCCCTCCACGTGTTCTGCTTTGTGGGCGTGCCACACCTGCAGATGGGCAGACTTTGGCTGCAGCCTTGGTGGGCAGATGCATGATCAGGCGGCGGGCGGCTGGGAGCCTGGGAGCCTGAGCCTGCCCGGAGATTTGGTGGTGGGCAGAGTTCCCAGCACAGACCTTGGTGAGGTTGCATGTGTCATTGGCACCCCCTCTGTGCCCCCTGCAGATGCTGGACGAGAACCACCAGCTGATCCAATGCATCCTGGAATACCAGAGCAAGGGCAAGACAGCCGAATGCACGCAGTGAGTGCTGCCCCGCCCCACCCTGATGCTTCCTTGCGACTTCCCCTTCAGGGGTTCTAGGGTCTTGGTCATGGACAGGGCCCCTGCAAACACTCTCTGGCCAGATAAGCACAGCCTGCCTAGCTGGATCGGCCCGTGACCTCTATGGCTTTGTTGCCCTTGTCCCCCCAGGTACCAGCAGATCCTGCATCGGAACCTGGTATACCTGGCCACAATCGCCGATTCTAACCAGAACATGCAGTCCCTGCTCCCAGCTGTGAGTACCCCCATGCAGGGACACAGTGCCAAGTCTGGACGGGGAGCCAGAATCGAGCAGGATGTCTCGGGAGGGTGTCGGGTGGACGGAGCGGCTGGAGGCAGGTGGCCACTTGCTTTCAGATGATCTAAGGGGACCTCACAGTAGGGGCAGTGTCAGAGGCTGAGGCAGACAGATGCTGGTCCCTGACTTGTTTCTGACCTTGAGCTCCAAATGGTCAGGGGGCGCAGGTGCTGGTAGCAGTGTGAGACGATGCAGCCACTGTGAGCGGCTTGCAGCGGTCCCTCAGGAAGTTTGCCATGTGGCCTGCTTAGTTTTGCCTCAGGTGCTGGGTGTTCACCAGCGTCCACTGTAGCACTGTCCACAGGGGTGCAGGACACGCAGCCGAACGCACCACTGCAGGGCCTCTAGGGGTGGGCACCTAGAGTCGGGAGGGCAGTGAGTCCAGGGGACAGCATGGTGTGGGGAGATGAGGGCACCGTTGTCCTGCCACTCCCAACATCCTGACCTTTAGGGGCTGTTTGTCCGGTAGCTGGGACGTATGGGGTCAGGGCTCCCCAACTCTGCCCTCAGTCAGACCAACCCCCACCGTCATCCTGTTGCCTGCAGCCGCCCACCCAGAACATAAACCTGGGCCCAGGAGCATTGTCGCAGAGTGGCTCCAGCCAGGGCCTGCACGCCCAGAGTGGCCTTGGTGACACCATCGGCTCTGGCCTGCCCCCCTCCTCCCTGATGCAGGGTCAGATCGGCAACGGTGAGCACTCAGGGTGGGGGCAGGGCTGCTGGCCACCTGACTGCAGGGTGTCCTCCCTAGCTGAGACAGCTCCCCTGTCCTTCCTGGGGTCGGTTGCAGGTGGGGTGCTTGTGCAGAGGGGAGAAACCCCCTCTTCCAAATCCTTCCTCCATCTGGACACTCACATCATGTCCACCGCAAATGCGAGGTGGGGGTTGGAACGTGGTTGTTTGTGACGCCGAGTCGATGCCGCCCTATGTTCTCATTGGGATTTTAAGGCTGTGACCTTTCAGAAGCAGGTCACCAGGTGCGTCTGGGTGGGTTTGAACCACCGACCTTCCAGTTAGTAGTGCGGGCGTAGCGATTTGTGCCATTACAGTCTCCAGTAGATGCCCAGCAAGACCCAAGTGCCCTGCTCCTGTCTGTGGGGTGAGGAGCGGTAAGTGACAGAGCAGCACAGTGTCACCTTACCTTCCTATGTCAGTCATTTAGTGACCCACGTGTGAGGGTTACAGGCCGAGCTATGAGGGGCCTGCCTCCTGCCCAGCCATCTCACCCACCCCTCCCGGTAGGTCCGAACCACGTGTCCCTGCAGCCGACAGCGCCGAGCACACTGCCCACCACCTCCATGAGTATGTCGGGTAGCAGCCATAGCTCAGGGCCCGGCTACAGCCACGCAGGACCCGCCTCACAGAGCGTGCCACTGCAGGGTCAAGGCACCATCGGCAACTACGTGTCTCGGACCAACATCAACATGCAGTCCAACCCAGGTACCTCTGCCCCGGGGACTCTGTGACGCCACCAAGTCCCACCACCCTCATCGCATGCAGGGGTGCCTTTGTTGGGCATGTGCTGCCGCCCTCCTCTGCAGTGCTGGGTCTAGGGGTGCAGGGAGCACGGGGGTGGGGAGCATGTTGACGGCACAGGGTCCAGGTTGGGGGACTGTTCCTCCAAGGTTCAGTGCAACCTCAGGAGGACAGTGTTTGTCCTGGCCCAGGATGGGAGGACTGGACACGTGGGAGCACAGACTTTCCCCACACTGGGATCCGTGCGGCTGGAGGCAGAGTGAAAGAATGTTGACTGTCCACAATGGGGCAGGGAGACAAGCTCCCAATAGAGTGACCACTGGCCACTTGGGGCTGTCGAGACCAGTCTGAGGTTCTCTGTACGCACCAGAGGCACCCAGATTGGGAAGGCTGGCCAGCAAAAAGGAAGGGGAGGTACCTTATTGAAAATGGTATATTGGGTTTTATTAAAGGTGATTTTCACCTGTTGCTGAAATCACATGTGTGGTTCGCCTCTGTGGTTCTCATTCTATTTCTGTTGTTAGCACACTCTATAGAAGGTTCTGAGCACAGGTGGCATGTCGGACAGACCTGTGGGTGTAGAAGAGTCCACCCTGAGTGTTAAAAAGATCAGCAGGGTACAGGGACGTCAGGGTGTGAGGTCACAGGGTTATGAGGGTCAGACTGTGGATCACAGGGAGATCAGTGAGAGTTACGGTGAGGTCAGGGGAGAGGACCTGGCAGGTCATTAAGGGTAACAGGGAGTCAGTGAGGGTTACAGTGAGGTCAGGGTGTGAGGTCACAGGGAGTCAGTGAGGGTTACAGTGAGGTCAGGGGAGAGGAACTGGGAGGTCATTAAGGGTAACAGGGAGTCAGTGAGGGTTACAGTGAGGTCAGGG